TATGCAAACAATAACACAGAGTAACGGTGTAGTGTTCATCCCCAGAAAAGCACATATCAAGCTCTCGTGGCATAGTTATAAGGAGCAACACTGCGATGCCAAAGGCACAAAGTTCAAATTCACCAGCTTCTCTGTGGGAGAAAGATGAATAAATAGTCTGTTTCCATGTGACTTACTGCATCTGAAAACCCTCTAGAGGGTCAGTTATGGGTAAGGTCCAACTCAGTGGTACTCAAGAACTGAAGAACAATGTAGTCAGTGGTAGCATAATATCCTTAAGCATACAAAGAAAACCTGTTAACATGACTGTTACTAAAATATATACATTTCCCTCTGAAGTCAAAGATGAGGAAGATGAGAATTTCCTTTTTTTAATTTACAATTTATTTGATGATGTACTAACTTTTTGCTTTTTTTATTATTAATTTCAATGAAAATTTACAGAGTCCTTGGATTTCCATTCATTCATTGTTGCACTTTTCTCCCCTCCCAACCCTCCCCCCAGTACACTACCCTCTTGGAAATGGAAAAGAAAAAATCTTTCATTGTTTTACAATCTCTCCCCCCAGGTCCACTCCACTGTGCAGACTTCACTCTGGACTCTTATCATGACGAATTCCCTAATAATTTTCCCTCTTAAACAGTTTTTTCCCTCAGAAGATGAGAATTTCTACAAACTACTGCATGCAGTTTGAAATTGATGGGACATGCAATCAAGGATTTTGTACTGAAATGATTTCTTCATTGCAAATACCTTTTTTAATGAAACGTAAACAGCAACTACACACCTGGATGTCACCTGCTATGGTTCACAGAATCACACTGGCTGCATCTGTGGAAGAAGACAGTGCTAAAGCTCGACATTAGACGTCAGGACGAGGCCAGGGATCCAATATAGAACAGACCATAAATTGCTCGTGCACAAGTTCAAGTTGAAACTGGAGAAGATGAAAACAAGTCCATGAGAACCAAAGTACGACCTTGAATCTATCCCACTTGAATTGAAAAGGCCATCTCAGGAACAGACAATCCCAAAATTTTGTTACGTTGTCAAAAAAAAATGGTAACAGATTACTATCTGCATTATTGTATGCCGGTTCTTCAATATAATGCATCTTCCCAGTGCAACAAAGAGGCCAATATTCGTTATCTCATTTCTAGGAAAGCCATTAAGTAAATGGTTCATTTTTCTGTCTAAATGACATCATCTCCTCAAACAAAAATCTAGGCAAAAACATGCAGGAGCACTTTAAGATACTAGACTTTAAAATACCACTAGGTGGCAGTGATGTAAAGACCATGATTGAAATAGAAGACATCTATCTCTATAAACATCTTAAATACACATTGAATGCTACCTAAAATAAACAGTAGATATGCAAAAATAACATATCTTCATTGACTCTTCCTATCCTGCTAACCAAAATATGTAAAGAAATCTGTGAATATAACTAAACTGGAAAAGCAGATGGCAGAACGATGAATGCCTTTCTTTTTCCTCCTTTTCCTCTTCACTTAAACACTGATTGAGCTTACACTTTGTGGCAAAACGAGCTACCAAAAGAAGAAGAAATTAAATCCACTGCCATCAAATCTATTCTGACTCACAACAGTCCTCCATCAGCTTTCTGAGGCTGTAAATCTCCAGATTGTATTTCAGCAAGCAGATACAGGCCTGAAAATGCTAACCAGGTTGTGCCAAGAAAACTGGAGGACAACTACCTGGCCAACTGAGTGGAAAAGACCTGTATTTACTCCCATTTTTAAAAAATGATCCAACAGAATGTGAAAATTATCATCACTAATATCACACACAAGATCCTGCTGAAGATTATACGAAAACACCCGGAACAGCACATCAAATATAACAGAGAACTGCCAGAAGTACAAGCTGAGTTTAGAAGAAGCCATGGCACTAGGGACATCACAGCCAATATCAGATGGATCCTGGCTGAAAGCAGACAGCACCAGAGGAATGTCTATCTGTGTTGCATTCACTACGCAAAGGCATTTGATTGTGTGGATCAGAACAAATTGTGACTAACCTTGAGAAGAGTGGGAATTAGTTAACTGTGCTCGTGCAAAACTTATGCTTAGACTAGATAGCAGTCATCAGAACAGAGCAAGAAAACACCTCATGGTTCCAAATCAGGAAAGGAGTGCATTAGGGAAGCATCCTATCTATATGCGGAACAGATCATTCAGAAGGCTGGACTTTGAGGAGGAATGTGGCATCAGGATTGGAAGAAGACTCCTCAAAAACATGGATTACACAGATGATACAACCTTTCTTGCCAAAACTGAGGAGGATCTGAGGCATTTTCTACACAAGCATAATATGAATTGCCTCTCAACATCAAGAAAACACAGATTCTCATCACTGGGCCAATTTGCAGCACCATGATAGACGGAAAAGAGATTGTTCGCGATTTCAGATTGCTTGGTTCCACAATCAACACTCTTGGCACCAGAAGTCAAGAAATCAAAAGACGAATTGCATTACGGATATCTACTGTCAGCAACCTCTCCAAAATGTTAAAGAGCAATCATATCAGTCTAGAGATTTATAGGTGTACCTGATCCAAATCAAAGTCTTTGTAATTACTTTCTATGCCTCAGAGAATAGACAGTGGTTCTGGAGAAGAGTCTTGAACATACATGCCATGGACTACCAAGATCTCTCTTGGAGAGGGTAAAACCAAGTTTCTCCTTAATGGCAAGGATTTTGAAACTCCATCTAACATACTTTGGCATATGGCCAGGAGGGACCGGTCCTTGGAGAAGGACATCATGCTTGGAAGGGTGAAGGAACCATTTAGAAGAGGAAGAACCTGAATGAGATCGATTGACACAGTAACTGGGTTAATAGGGGTAAGTGTGTTGCAGACAGTGACATTGGCTCAGGACAGGACAAGCTTCAGAGCTGTTGTGTATAGGGTAGCTATGAGTTGCAGGTGATTCAAAAGCACATAACAACAATATCCATTTAAAAACAAACACCACATATACAGCCATGTACTGTTTGCTTTGATTTGAGGTTTTTCAAATTTCAAATCATAAAAAATGGTAGAATTATTGCTAGCCTAGTCCAGTAATACATCGTTGATCTGATCAATGAAATAGTGATTAAACATATTTTCTAAATAAGTTAGAAATGTCAGCATCCTTTTTTTTTTTTTTAGTGTACACAGGAAAGTTTTTGTAAGTCACTGAAAATATATTTCTAGAACGATAAAAGCAGAAATTTATTTTTGTTTGATGGGTAAGAGGTATACAAAGTATGCAAATAAACTTGTTTTCTTTAGCATCAGGGGAATTTCATTGTTCTCTAATGATATCTTCTGTCATTTTTATTAAAAGCTAAGCCACATTTCTCTAGCAGGCAATTTCTAAAAAATCTTCAAGATTTTTAAGGGAGAAAGTTCACTAACATTTAGCTCACTTTATAACTGAGGGCTTAAGCAATTTAGGGTTTTGGTATTTTAAAACGAACAAAAAATAATATTGATTTATTTACAAAGTTTGGATATATGGATTTTCATACTAGACCTTTCCCATTTGCTTCACCCACCTCTCCCTCCACCTGTCAATTTGTGCAACCCTGTGATTAACCACTCCTGGCCCCTGCCACTCCTCAGCCCTCTGCTCCCACCCACCCCCCGGAGATCCTCATACTTATTCTATAATAAAGATCTGACATAATATTGTCCTTAGGGGACTGAGTTAGTTCACTCAGCATAATGTTCTCCAGTCTTTCCCAAGTTTATGTAGTAATTTACTAAATCATTGCTCCTGTGTGCTGCATTGTATTCCATCATGTGAATGTACCATAATTTTTCAATAATTTAGGGTTCTTTTTTGACATAATTGTCTATTGTTTGGATATTAAATTATGCAAGTGTCACTAGTCTAAAACTTGTACTATATCACTTTTAGGCAATGAGATATGTGAATAAATATGGAAGACTAAGACTAAGCCTTTTTATAAGACATCAAGATGTGGTGAAACTAATGGGCTATTTTTCACAGTAGTTTTTGTTGGGTGTGGTTTTGTGGATTTTTTTTCCACATAATGTTTTGGCTTTAGGAAATCAAGTGTTAATCTAAGTGAAATGTTATTCTGGTTTTGGCCAGCATTATTACTGCTATAGCCTGATAGTTGACGGTAAAGTGACTTAAGGAAAGGACATCTTTTCCTAATATACACGACATTTTCTGCTGGGCTCATGGTGAGGTGAAAGGCCACCAAAGAGCACTGCAAGTGAACCTGTCTGGAGGTAAGTAGTGATGAGGGTCTTTAAAACTTTCAAAAAGCCATGTTAGGTGTGACTATTGTTCCCTCCCAGTCTGGAACAAAGAAGAGGGAAGAAAAGCAAAAATTTAAGGAAATAATTAACTCAAAGGTCTAGTAGACTATGTAAACATCAACGTCCATAACCTTGAGACCAGAGAACTAGATGGTACCCAGCAACCACCGCTAACCACTGCCCAAGGGATCACAGTAAAAGATCCTGGACAAAGTAGAGGAAAATGTGGAACAAACATAAAAAATGTAAAAAAAAAAATAAAATAAAGGCCAGGCTTACCAGCCCAACATAGACTGATGGAATCACCAAGATATGACCCTTAGTCACTCATTGAACTTGAACGAGAACACACTCATAAGAAAACCAGTACCACCAGGGAGGTGCTCACCCCTAGAGTAACTAACGTTTTTTCAAGGATAAAGCCTGGAAGGCAAGAAAGGGTAGTAGAGAAGGAGTAATGGAAATTAAAATTACAGGAGAGAAGTGCAGAGATATTATTAAATTGTGAGTATTGTGATTAATGTTATAAAAGACAATGCGTATGAATATTTGAGTGAAAAGTCAAATTGTTTTGTAAACTTAAATCACAATTTTCAAAGAAGAACCATTTTGACGGTACATCACTGATCACCTACATCCAGTTATGAAAGAGATTAGATATTATGAAAAGGAAGTTAATAGGAAAGCAGATTTCTATGTTGAGAGCCACACTTTGTGTATTCCTGTCACCCCCAGGGCTACACAGGGACTTCCAGGATCCCACTCATATTGAGAAGCAGGCAGCTGAGAAATCTAAAGGGAAGAAACAAAGTAAGAAATGCTGACACCACCTCCAGTAGTAATAATAATTGTTGTTGTTGTCAATTGCCTTCCAGCAGAAAACAACTCATAGCGACCCTATGTACAAAAGGCTTAAAGCCCTTGCACAACTATCAACATTTATCAAGGTTCATAGATTTTTCAGAGTGTAGGGAGACACACTGCAGCCATTTTCTGCAAATAGCCATTTATGTCAGCTGTAAAAGTGCAGAGCTGTTTATCATTTTGGTTTGATGTCTGAAGGGAGCAGAGACATTTGACTGTTCCTTGTACCCTAAGGCTAAGCAAGGTTATGGAGAATGGAATGTCCCTCCCCAAACACGCTGTATATACTCAAATTCTGATGGCCTTGCCTGCTGCTGATAAGAAGAGCAAACAGCCTCCCTTGCCTGGCTGAGCTAGCAAATGGCTTGTAAATCAAAATGGAATGTACTGTTGACCTGGAGGCTGGGCTGTTTTTCTGTTCCATGCAGAAAGATAATAAAAGGACAGGAGAGAATAAACTCAGGGCTGCAGTTTCAGACTATACACCTCTCCTAACCTATCCCTTGTGTAATGTATTTCTATAATCTGCACTCTCATCACTCCAACCCTGTTCGTCTTGATGGCTGGTTTCCAGCACCAGAGACATGTTGTTTAGGAAATGGATGCCACTCCTACTTCCAAATAGCGGAGTTAAAATTGTTCTGCACCTTCTTCTTGCCTCTTCCTCTGCTGGTGAGTTGGGGAGCAGGAATTGAGAGTCTAGGGGAAAAGCTAAACGCTGCTCATTTTCTCTTGAAGTTGCCCTGAGTTAAGGTAAAGAGAAGAGCAGCTTCAACTTGAGTTTGACAGTTTTGACTGGTTATTTCAATTCTTAACATGAGATGCCTGGTAGTGGTGCTTAAAGGAGGGGGGGAAAGAACTAGAAGTAGTCAGAAGTTTTGATTGTGAACATTTTCATTCATATAAAAAATGTCTGAGAAATTTTAAAGAGGACACCTGTGTGCCTAAGAGCTCCAGAGGCACAGTGGCTAAAGTTCTCAGCTGCTGACAGAAAGGTCAGCAGTTTGAACCTCCTAGCCACACTGCAGGAGGAAGATGCACGTCTGCTTCTCTAAAGATCTACAGCCTTGAAATCCCCATGGAGGGTTCAACTGTGTCCTGTAGGGATATTATGAGTATGAATTAGCACAAAAACAGTGGTGAGTTTGGGGATTTTGTACTTACAAACTTTAACACTTTGGAAAGGTTTTGACAGCAGATTTTACTCCAAAGTTCTAAAGAGAACCTAACAACAATACATTTCCCACCTATATTCCACCATTAGCTTGTATTGTTGTTATTTAAATTGTGAATGTCAATCTAGAGACTGAGGTACCCTTGATCCAGGCGCTGGTTTTTGTGATTACTTACGTGCTATGCATCAGAGATCTGGATAATGCGTAAGGATAACAGAAGAAGAATTAATACCTTTGAGTTGTGGTGCTGAAAAAGACTATTGAACATATCATAGACTGCCAAGAGAACAAATAAGTCTGTCTTGGAGAGGGTGAAACCAACTCTCTCCTTGGAAGCAAAGATTTTGTAGCTCTGTCTCACATACTTTAGGTATAATCAGGAAGTACCAGTCCGTGGAGAAAAACATCAAACTCAGAAGAGTGGAGGGACAGCGCAGGAGAGGAAGACCCTAGATGAGATGGATTGATACAATAACTGAAGCAATATGATTAGGTGTGTTGGAGTCAGTGAGACTGGTCCAGGACAGGCCGAGGTTCAGAGCTATTGTATATGGGGTTGCTATGAATTGCAGGCAACTCGATGGCACATAACAAACAACATCAGATATATAACAAAACAGTTGCCATCCCAGTGATCTTCACAGGTACAGTTCAGTGACATTATGTCCTTCATGTATGCACTATTAACATCTTACTCTGCTAGTTTTATCACATCTGCCTGTCTAACCATTTCTCCATTCTCATTTCATCTTTTTAATATGCTTCATGGTGCCAGCCATAACTATGTTACTGTTGTTTTGTGCCCTTGAGTCATCTCCAGTTCACAGTGACCTTGTGAACAATCCATTGGAACCTCACCCTACCTTGCATCATCCTCACAATCAAACCCATGCTCAAGCCCACTGGTACAGACACTGTGTCAATGGATCTCCCTGAGGGTCTTCTTATCTTCTCCTGACTCCCCACCTTTCCCAGCATGATAGCTCTTTCCAAGGTCTAGCCCCTGCTGACAACTTTGTGAGATGATGTCTCACCATCCTTACCTGTAAGTGTGAATATCATTAACTAAAGTTCAATACTTGTTTTTAGTGTTTTGTTTTCTTTTGAGAGAAAATTTATATAGGATGTCATGCATAAGTCTTATGTATATTTACTGAATTTTGGCAAATGCATTCAACTGTGTAACACACATCTGGAAGGACTTTTTATTACTCAAGCAAGACCAGAAAAACCACTTGGAACTCTTGACAAGGAACTCAATCTAAAGATTATTCCCATGCCCTCCCTTACTGTATCATTCTCTCCAGCAACCTTGCATATGAGCTGAATTTTCCACACATTACTTAGAATACAGCATCTTAGGAGTCTAATCTGAATGAGTCTCATACTAGGAATACAGGGGATCAGCTCCAAGGAACTGATAAAGTCCACGAAGCTCTGGTGGGTTGATGGTACAGTGTTGCACTGTGAACTCAAAGGCACATGTTTCAAATCCATCAACATGTCGGAGGGAGAAAGAATGGGCAGTCTCCTCACGTGTGACTTTCTGACTCTGAAAACCCACTGGAAGGTCAGCTATGACTCACACATACACAACAATCCAACCACAAGGATATTGCAGGAGACCTTGGGTAGTAAAAACTGTTCATGATTGGCTGTTAACTGTGGGAAGTTCAAGTTCACCCAGAGGCACCTTGTAAAGAAAAAAATTAGTAACCCACCTCCAAGGGGGAAAAAAAATCAATCCTTGAAAACCCAATGACACACATAGGTTCTCCATGAATCGGAATTTATTTAACAACAATGGAATAGGTAGGATTTTACAAAATTGTCTGGGGTCTTGAGGACCCCAGAATCACCTTGTTTGCAGAGTCAACGCCCCACTTTTCCGCCTTCATTAGCCTCGGCACATGACAGTAGAGTTCCATCTTGCACATGCTCTGGATCTGAACAGTTATCCGGAAGGAAGAGTCTTGAATTTGTATGGGAGGAAGGGAGAAGTAGTAATGAAGATGGGAGGTATGAAACTGCCATCTTAACTACATCATTATTAAATAACCCCTTTCTTTCCTGCTCCTCATTATCTGCCACCCCTTCAGGGAAATCTACTTTTCCTGTATCTCCTAATACACACATATTGCAAAATGATAGTTTAAGAACCTGCACTGCAATCTCAGAAGCACGCAGTTCAAATCCACCATCTGTTCTAGAGAAGAGAGAAGAGTAATCCCCGCCTGTGCAATTTACTGCCTCTGGAAACCTGCTGGAGGGTCAGCTGTTAGTCAGCCCCGACTCGATGACACAACTACAAACAGCATGTGTAAAGCAGAAGATAACGTCCATTTGTTGATTATTTGATGAAACCTGCCTAAGAAGCACAGAAAAGGGGGTACACTCCAAGGTGTCAGAAAAATCTTGCACTATGTAGTCAGTTTGGTCAACAGCATACAAAGGCTCTGGAGCTTGGTGAGATATGTTCATGAAAAGAATTCAAAGAATGAAAAGCATTTAGAACAAGAGGTGTATTGCAAAGTGAACTGGGGGGGGGGAGGAAGAGCAGGGAGGAAAGTGAGCAACAATGGATGAGTTTTAAAAACCACAAAGAATAAAAGACACACCTGCCCTTGAAGAACTCACAAGATATGAGGTAGAGTATGTACACAAGAGTTCTCAGCTTTCACTACCACCCACAGTCCAACACTTAGCACAGAGCGAGAACAGGAGGGGAGAAAGCAAGGTCAGGAAGGGCTTTCTGAGATGAGAATCTGTAAGGTGCTGCAAAATCCAATATGAGGTTTGAGACCATCCAAGGCGGGGGTGGTGGTGGTTCAGTGGTAGAATTCCTGCTTTCCATGCAGGTGACCTGGGCCGAGCACCTCATGCACAGCCACCACCCACTCTGTCTGTGGAGGCTTGAGTGTCATTTAGGTGCTAAATAGGTTTCAGTGGAGCTTCCAGACTAAGGCAGACTAGGAAGAAAGAGCTGGTGATTGACTTATGAATATCAGTCACTGAAAATCTGATGGATCACAATAGGAACAGACTGTGGCCACTGACAGAGCTTTCATTGGCTGGTTTTCATGACTAGATAATGGGTTGAGGGACTGATTCAGCAGCAGTTAACAGAAAGGGACAGCCTGATAAGAAAGATGTGGTTTCTTATAGGTGAAGTTGTTCTGGGGTTAACAAACCCAAAAGTCCTCCCCATGACATGCCCTCAAGGCCTGACTCCTCTTCCTCTTGCACCCAAAGCTGAGCATTGGCACTTTTTCTCTACCTTCAATCATGTGATCACTAAGTTCAGGAAAGAGTTATTTGTCTTTTAGAGATTTATAAAGTTATCATTGGCTTTCAGGACCCAGACTCCTATTGAAGTTCAACCAATTAAAAAAAATACATATTTAGATAATATTTATTGCATTTTTGTGGTGAAAATGTTCACAGCAAGTTAGATTCCCATTAGACAATTTCCCCAGATAGCGCTTGGTGGCATGAGTTACACGTATCACAACATGACGACGTTCTCTTTGTGTTCCATCTGTCCCTTTCTCAGTACATGCCCTTTGTCTTCTCATCTTTGCTTTTAAGAAATTGTTGACCATTTTGGTCTCATACTCAAAGTTTTTAAGAAAGGCATTTTATTCCATGAGTAAAATCCTTTTATGGATAATATTAATTATTTTAGGGAGCTTTTGTGTCTACGTGGTAAGGAGCTGTGCTGCCAACCCAAAAGCACACAGTTAGAATCCACCTGCTACTCTGAAGGGGAAAGACGGATAATCTCCTCTCATACCGATTACAGCTCGGAAACCCCATTAATGGGCCCGCTATGAGTGAGTTTCAACTCAACAGCACATAACAGCAAGAGTCTTTTGGAGGGGTGGAGTTTGTAGGGGGTTTCAAGGCTAACGCAAAGGTGGTGTCCCTCTGACCGTTCAAATCCACCAGCAGCTCCATGAGAGAAGGATGGACCATCTCCTGGTCACTTCACAGCCTTAGAACATTATGTTCTCCAGATCCGTTCATGTTCTCTTTCGTGGACTCTGCAGTTGCATAGTATTCTGCTTTATGCACGTACCACTGCTTGATGATTCATCCATTGATAGCCATTTTTGTTGCTTCCAATTATTTGCTATTGTAAGGAAAACAGCAATGAACATGCATCCACGTAACTGTTTGCATCTTCACTTTCAGGTCCCTCTGTGGTGAGGAGTTCCACTGTCAACTCAAAGGCAGAATCGACCAGCTGCTCCCAGGGAGAAAGATTGGCAATCTCCTCCAATGCAATTTACTGCCTCTGAAAACCTACTGAAGTGTCAGTTCCAACTGCTGAACTGGTCGGTTCCAACTCAACAGGCACATAACAAGAGCAACACTTGGGGGTGTGGTGCATTATGCATGGTGCTTCTAACCAAAGTTCAACCATTTAAGCACACTAGCTTCTCTGCAGGAGAAAGGTGGGCAGCCTTCCCCAGAAAAGATTTATAGCCGTAGAGGATTGCTATGAGTCAGAATCAATTCAATGGCAGTTTACACCTAGGAGTGTGATTCCAGGCTTACAGGCTAGTCTCGTTTTTAGAGGAGACAGCATATCATTTTCAATAGTGGTTATACCATTTTACAGCACCACAGTGAATAAGGGTTCCGATCCTCCCTCTCTCGCTAACATTTATTGTTGGTTTGCTTGCTTTTATCAGTGTCATCTTAGCCAGGGTAAGGTGGCATCTCATCGTAATTTTTATTCACATTTATCTAATGGCTAAATATTTTGTGTCCTTTTTTGTAAGGTGGCATCTTATTGTCATTTTGATTGCCATTCATCTATTGGCTAATGATTATGAGTATTTTGTTTTCATCATTTCTGACTGCTCTGATGTCCTCTTGAGTGAAGGTGCTGTTCATGTCTTTGCCCATTTTATGACGGGGAAGTTTAGACATTCTTGATTGACTTAAAATAAACTGTGTGAGCCCTCCTGAGCTTGCCAGAAAGAAGAAATTCCTGCTTCAAAATTATTATGTACAATAGTTGTAGGTATTGCAACGTCGTCATAGTCCTCTTCAGGCTCAATGTAGCTTGGGATGGAAACTGTGTTTTTATTTCTATCTTTATGAACTGATGAGTATGTTGATAACTGCTGACTTGGGGTTTTCTGTGGAGCTGAAAGACACAAAAAAGGACCTTAGATCCAAAGCATTGTGTATTAATACATGTTTAACCAAGTTGTAGTACAGGTTCTGGCTCAACTGAACACAGCAACAATTAACACAAGGACAACAAGATTGTTCTAGGTTTCAGTGACCGCTCCACTTTTGTGGAGACTAAATTCTCATTTTATAGAGGACAGAGAGACACAGGCACAGTATCATCTCAGGGTTCCCCAAGTGGTCAAATGGCAAATAGGGTCAAATATCCAAGACTTCACCCATATATCTCTCTGCTTAGATCACTGCAGTAGAATCATGAAACCAAAGATTAACCTGGATGGAAAAAAATGGACTGCTTCACAAATCTACATGTCATCCTTGTGCAGGGGCCATGCTAATCTTCTCTATATCGTTCCAATTTTAGTGTATGGCCTGCCAAAGCAAGCACAGAAGGTAATCCTCTTAAAGAAGTGATACAAACAATAGTTCCTTTTTGGCAAATTTCTTGCAATAACCTATGTGGTTTTCAGACATGTCTATAGTTTTTCAAGTACAGATCTCTCCACTAAGAGAGAAAGAAAACAATGATGTTTGTTTGCAAAAAGCATAAATAATAGAGAACAAACACAGAGCAAAAGGACTAACATGTCTAGAAGAACAAAATAGCCCAGCTTGGACTGGAGCAGGGATTGGAAATGCCTCTATTACAATCTCATCTTCTCCCCAAACTCAGTTGTTATTGAGTCGCCTTAGACCCTTGGGGACCCCATGTGGGTCAGTCAGAGTTAAACTGTTTGTTCTCCATGGGGTTTTCCACGGCTGAGTTTTTTAAAACAGATCATCAAGCCTTTCTTCCAAGGCACATCTGTGGAGACTCGAACATCCAACTTTTCAGTTAATAACGGAACATGTTAACTGTTTACACTACCCAAAAACACCATTGCCTTCTAAGAGAACATGAAAGTTACTGCGATTTCATTTCGTGTAGAGCCCTGCAATTAGATGCAAGTTCATGTTCACACTCCAGGCCTCACAAGCCGTGTGATGTTGAGCAAGTCATATAGCTTCTCTGTGTCTCCATATCCTATTCGAGGGGACATAACCTGAGCCTATTGACATCAAGTTGGTTCCAATTCACACAGCTATTTAGGACAGAGTAGAATTGGTCCATCTAGGTACTAAGATTGTATCTTTTTGTAGGAGCAGACAACCTCGTACCTCTCCTAAGCTAGTTTGAGCTGCCAACTTTTTTGATTAGCACCTGAGCACTTAGCAACCAGGGCTCAATTGCCAGAGGGCAATAATAATACACCTGACCCAGAGTTGTTCTCAAAATTAAATGAGATGATCTCTATGAAGTGCTTAGCTTGGGGCCTAGCATAAGTGTATGTCTAATAAATGTCAGCTAGTACCAGCACTGGCCAGCTCTGATGGCGTACCCTGTAGGAAGTTGTGCTACTAATCCAGAGGCAGCACCTGTCTGGCAGCTCGAATCTACCAGCAGCTCTTCTGGAGAAAGGTGGGCAGTCTCCTCCCACGTAATTTACAACCTCTGACTATTTACAGCCAACTAAAACCTTGGCGATTTACAGCTGGAGGATTGTCTGCGAGTTGGTACTGATTTAACAGTAATGAGTGTCAACTTTGAGTTTAGTACAATTATTAAATCAAAACATTTCTATTAAGTATCTGCTAAATTCCAGGCACTGTCCCTCTTTTTCATTTGAGATTTTATTGTAAGTTTATGAAGAACTTGGCTTTCCATTCATTTATTGTTGCACATTTTCCTCCCTGCCCCCAATCCCCAGTTTGCTTTTTTCTAAGGAAAAAAGTTCTTTCATTGTTATACAGTCTTCCCCCAGCTCCCAGACCACTTACTTATGCAGCTCTTATTCTGGACTCTTGTCATACCAATAATACCTAATCATAAATTCCTTTTATACAATTCTGTCCCTCATCTGTATCAATGCCATGTATATTATTTATCCCCTATTTTCTAAACTCCCCAACCCCTCTGTCAGTCCTGTTTTATAACGGTGGCATTATGCAATATTTATCCTTTTGTGACTGAGATATTTCACTCCAGGCACTGTTCTTAGTGGTAAAGAGTGACTAAAAAGACAAGAAAGACTCCTGCCTTCAGAGCTTATTTTCTAGAGCAACTGGATGAATAAAAACTGAGTAAGATAATTTCCAATCATTCCTATCAGTTTCTTAAGGGACAATAAGCCAGACTACCTTAGAGGCAAGAATGATGACATTGTGTCTCACGTACACTGGGTATGGTGTTAGGAGGGACTACTCTTTGGAAAAAGACATACTTGGAAAGGTTAGTGGAAGAGAGGAAGACCCTTAACACAATGGATCAACACAGTGACTTCAGCAATGAGCTCGAACTGTCAGGGACGAGGACGGCACAGTACAGGGCAAGCTTCAGGTCCGTCGTCCATAGGGTCGCTGTGAATCATAATTGATTCGAAGGCACCTAATAACTTTCAGTAGGATGATTAGAAGTGATGATATGTAAACAAACACATGAAGAACAAGGTGAAGAGATTCAGGAAAAGCATACCAGATACAGAGAATCAGGAGGAGTTTTTCTGATGGGGAAAAGTGCTTCTCACAATTCCAAGCCCAGATTTGAACATAAATTTGTATAAATTTAAATATCAGGAGTTTGGTTACTAATGCTTCCTCTTTTTAACTTATCCTTGTCTTTTAAACCAAAAGAAAATCTTTGTCACATTCCTTATGCTGTGCTGAGTAAAAATGTTATCACCAAATGCAAGTAAACTTACGTGCATCTTCAGGAGAAGGAAAAGTCCTAGGTGGCAAAGGAGGTAGTTGAATTTGTGACTGATTAAGAACATTCCTAGAGAGAGAGAGAAAGCCAGTGAGCCAAGGTTTGGTTTTGACCATGCCTGCTGTCAGTGAACACAAAGGATGACATCAAAGAAAGTGAATAGGGTTGAACACCCAAGTCTTGGTCCCTACATGGTGGAAATATTTCCTTCCCTTTCTCTGTCCTGTTTTGTAACTGACACACCAAAGAAACCATTTCCCCCAGCACAGGAAAGGCAGAAATTGCGGGGAGGAAGTGGAAGCAGTGTAACTTAGTGTGTACGGAACATGCCCTGGGGCCATCTCAGATGTATGGGAGTGGGAGGTAAGGGTATTGGGGTGAGAAACAGAAGTACTCCCAAAGATGCACACACATCCTACAGCAGCAATCCCACCAAACAATTGATGTATATCAACTCCACTTGTGTCAGGGTAGAACTATGCTCCGTAGAGTTTCAAATAGCAAACTCTTTTAGAGGAAGAGCTCCAAATCTTTCTACTAAGGCTCTTCGGAGAGGATTCAAACCTCCAACCTTTCATTAGTCATCAACAATGTTACCTGTTATACCACTCAGAGATTGCAGCAATCCCACTACTGGGTATATATGCTACTGAAATGCATATACTGTTCACCAAAAGTACTAGAATGTTCATGGTATTACTAGTCATAAAAAAAAAACCCACAAAAAAAACCCCAACAACAAAAAAAAAACCAATCCATGGCTGCATGAGTCTAAAGGGAACTCTGGTTGCCTACTGGTAAGGAATTGAGTTGTCAATCCAAAGACACACAGTTCAAGTTCCCCATCTGTTCCACAGGAAGTCATTTTCTTCCTGCTCAATTAACTGCCTCTGAAAACCCAGCAGAGGGTTGGCTATGAGTCCGTCCTGACCCGATGTTACACAGTAACAGCAATATGGCTCTAAAATGGGTGCAAATTCATGTACTAGAATTCCCTAGGTGGTGCAAGTGATAAAGGCACTCAGCTGCTAACTGAGAGACAGGAGACTTTTGACTCACCTGAAGCTCACTTGTAAGAAAGGCCTAGCGCATGCTACTTCTGGAAAAACAGCCACAGAGAACATTCTGGAGCTCAGCTCTACTCTCACACACTTGAGGTCACCACAAGTCAGCATCAACCCTACGGCAACTCTTACCATTTTTATGTTTGCTTGGCTTTTTTAGACATTTACTAATGTGCATTTTTTGTATGTGTGTCACTCTTTCTTTTTTTTTAATTTTTTTATTATTTTTGTGTGAGTGTACCGTCAAATCAGATCTGACTGGTACAGGAGAAGATTGTCTCTCCTTCCCCGGCAGAGCTTCTGGTGGATTCAAACCGTGCACCTCTGGGATTGTAGTTGCAGCCCCTTGCCACTAGGCCACCAGAGCTCCCTGTGTGTCACTCTTAAACAAGTAATTTTAAAATTCTAAGGAAGCTGCCTTATCTAGCTCCCCAGTCCCATTCGTGTACACTGTTTTCCACACTGGTTCTGGGTCCTTATGAGCTGATTTTTGAGCTTTTGCACGTGGTATTTCTCCGTGGAGATGGAGAAGCAGCTTCAGGATGTTGGAGTGAGTAAAGGAGATATTTGGCATGGGTGCCACTGAGGGCTTATCTTAATTTCTTGATGGTTTTTCCCAGGAAATTCATTCAATCTCATTGTCAGTAGTTCAGAACCAATTCATAACTGACTCTCCGTTGGCACAAACGGAGATTGACCACAAATCCATCTCAGAGCTATGGGTGGATTTGAACCACTAGAGAGCCGTGGCCTTGGGTTAGCATCACAGCTCTCTACGGACTACACCACCAGGCCTCCCTTTCCCAGAAAAAGGTGATTTATCTAGCTGACTGGTAAATTTCAGAAAAATCCAGCTCTTTCACTTCCTCTTTCAGGTCCAGACTGACTGCAGAAAGCATATATTCTTTCCAGGTATTTATCAAAGTTTCTAGTGTGGCCTATAAACTGGGTAGGAACATTTACCCAAATCAGGGTTGGGAAACTCACTTATTCTGCCATGCCAGTGTTACTCTTTTCATTACTGTTATTGTTACACTTGAGAATCTAAAGAACATAAAACTCGACAATTTCTACATATGCAGTTCAGTGATATTAATTACATTCTTCCAGATGTTTGGCCATTCTCACCCTTCTTTTCTGAATGCTTTATCTCCTTTTAACATAGACTCACTGCCATGCAAGTTTCCTACCTAAACTTCTCATCTTCTTTTGTCAGTTTAATTTCATATAAACAATTTTTAAAGGAGTGCAATATTCTTGGCAGACAGATATTTTTCATTAAAGCTAAATTATTATTTGGTATAAATTATGTTCAGTGGATAATTTTCATTTAAGACTTAAAGATTTTTCTCAGAGGAAAAGTTTCAAAGATTAATCCAGCCTCAATGGCTCCAGAAAGTCTGGATTCCAAGGTAACTTGAAGTTTTCTTGTCACATTTACCGATTTTGATCAGGATTCTGCTGTAAATCTTTGATCAAAATGTGCAATAATGGTAGATGGACACCACTTATTTCTTAATGTTTAATGCCAAAGAAAGCTATCGTTCACGGAATTAGCCACATATTTTATTTCTTATCAGCCTGACTTAAATTACATTATTTTGGTTATCTCACTGCCTTACACTTTCATTTTATTCCTCAAAGGGAGCAGAATTGAAATTGATAAAGAGGGGTTCTATTATTAGCTAGGACACTTAGAATTTATTATATGTGCTGCTCCAGTCAGGAAGGAACTCTGGAAGCATAGTCCATGGGGAGTTGAACTGCTAACCTAAAGTGGGCACCTCTCCAATCCACCAGCAGCTCCACAGGAGGAAGATGAACAATCTTCTTCCACGCAGTTCGCAGCCTCGGAAAACCTGCCAGAGGGTCAGCTGTGCACTAACCTGATGGCAGTGAGTTTGGGCTGAACTGAAGGAAGCACATTACAAACCATTTCAGAAAAGCTTAGACAGTTTCTTGAGTGCACACATTCCAGACAAGGGTCTGGTTCTTAACTGGTTCCTGGTAGATAAACCTATGCTCTGTCTGATAAGTGCAGCCTTGTATACCTGAGGCCAGGTAGTTTATGCTAACACTTCAATTTATGGTGAATGCTTGTTTTGTATGTTTAGTAGTTTGGGGCCACACTATATAAATCTGACCTCTGTTGGAGCTAAGACTTGAGTTCCCATGACCACTTGACTGAACCACCATAAAAATCCTAGACATTTTGTCGGCACATTTACAACTGTCACACAAGATTGCTGAGAGAATTAAGTGCTGTTGGTGTGACTCTACCTGGAGAAGCCAACTGGAAGCTCATACCTGGTTTTTCTTAGACTTTACTCGATGCATCTTCTCCCTTTGTTAATCACAATGCATTGTCTTTTCACCATAATAAACTATAACTACAAATGCAACAATTTATCTGGATCATGTGAGCCTAGATAATCATTTAATTGAGAAGCATTCAACACAGGTAACTACCATAAGGTCAAAAAATACATAATAAAATGCAAAAGTAATATGAAAGTTATATTTTTTGTTTAATGCAATAGCTTTAAAAGGGTTATATGTGTAATCTGTCTAATGAAAAGAAGTGTAGGAATAACCCTAAATGTTAGTTCCAAAACACAAAACCAGGCTTGTAACCTCTGTCTAACTCTATTAGATGAGGGAATCTTAGAAAGCAGAGAGAGCCATATGGTGCCTGCACACTCATCCCTGAGTTAATGGGAGAGAGATAGAAGATGTGACATTTCACTGACTTTCAAGTGGGCAATACAGTCCTACTAGTAGCATAGTGGAAGTGAACAGAATATTTTCAAACACCAGGAAGTTTTGTTTCTACTTACTCATACACCTTTTCTTCATCTCTTTGGTTTTGTTTCAAAGGCTTGGCAACTACCCATGACTTGCCTAAAGAAAAATATCTTCATTTAGAAAGAGTTAACAATGGTTGTGATTTTAGAGTTTAGAAATCCCCGAAGTCTGGCAGTTCTAAGAGACTGTCAAAGAACCACTTTAAAGGTTGTTGTTGTTGGTAGACATTCAAAATGGGCAATCTCTTCCCATGCAATTAAAGGCCTCTGAAAACCTCTGGAGGGTCAGCTATGGTTCAGTTCTGACCCTATGGTACTCAGCGAGTATTAAGGGAGCTCTGGTGGCCTTGTGGTAAGAAGTTGAACTGCATAATCCCAAATAATGCATGCAGTTCGAATCCACCAGCAGATCCATGGGAGAAAGATCTCCTCCCATGCAATTAACTGCCTCTGGAAACTGGCTGGAAGGTCAGCTATGAGTCAGTTTCAACTGGATGGCACAAAATAGCATCAACAATGATTGATAGAGCTAGAATTTTACCTCACATCATCTGATTACAAAACTGATGGGATGACAAGTGACCTGCTTACTTGTCAGTTCTATGCCTGCCTTGGATGACACTAAAAAAAATAAGTGTGGTGAGGAGGAAATAAGATGAAAAATGGGAAAGCAGTTTATAAACTATAGTGAGGTTGGCACTGAAGTTATTAATAATATCTTCCTTATCTGTGAACTTTGATAAATGATGATAGTTATAAAAAGGCTTCAGGCCTTTTGTTCTTTGTGTCGCTATGAGTTGTGCTCACCTCAACGGCAATTAACAACATTAACAAGAGTAATTAAAATAAAAGGTAAAATTTTTGTTCAGTCATATTTTGTTTATATCTAAGAAGGAATGTGTTTAGATAAAGGAATCAAGTATAGCTTTTGTTTTAAAAAGAAAATTTAATTACAGTCGAGGATAGAGAGAAAAGAGCATTGAACTGTGAGCCCAGAAGATCTGAGTTCTGATACCAATCCTGCCACCAACCTGTAGGGGACTTCAACCAAGGCTCTATCTCCCTTCAAACATTAGTTCTGCTATCTCAACAAAGATATTGAGGGAAATTATTGTTTGAGAATCAACTTCCTTTCACCTCTTGTGCAGTCCTGACATTTTAGCACTGGATTGAGAAAGAGAACAGAGCCTCAGTCCTTGAGGGAAGCCTGTTCCAGGTCACCAGGGGCAGCAGTTCAACACCTCAGTGTTCTCCTAATTTAGGTGATTAGTTAAAGGATTACAGTATAAAGCAAAAACACCCTTAAATCAAGGGTTTTGTGTTTCTGGAGATGAGTAGTAATGCAGAAAACCCACTTGTAAACAATCCGGACTTAATATTAAAATACCCAGGTAGCTACCTATTCACATCAAAGATATCAAAAATCTCTGGTCAAGATGGGTATAATAACAGATAATTTAAATATTACTTTAGAGAAGACAATTATATAACCTCATAATAGGTTGCTCATTAATTAAATTCATATTTCACCTCTCAAGGCATTCTTTTAAAACTTTATACTGGTTTATTTACAAAGTTCGTATACATTGTTTTTCATACTGAATCTTTCCATTTCTTTCACCGTCCCCTCTCTTCACCCACCAAATTGTTCAACATTTTGTTTGCTTATTTGTTTTCTGGGGTTTGTGTTTTGTATAGTTTTGAGGAAGTTTTTTGGTCTGATTTTGTTTTGGTTTTGGCTTATATTCTCTCAAATCCCTGAGGAAAAAAGATGCTGTAGTTGCAATCAGATAGAAAAGAAAAAACATTTGAGCATATCGTACCTGGAGAAATAGTCTCCAAGCTCTTAGGGCTGGAAGGGTTCCTGCAGTTTAATTAAATGCACTCCTTTTCCTATAGGGAGCTCTCATGGCCTATGCACTGCCAACACAAAAGCCCACAATTCTAATCCAACACCTACTCTGAAAGAGAAAGATGGGCAATCCCCTCTCATGTGATTTACAGCCTCTGAAAACCCACTGGAGAGTCAGCTATGAGTCGCTTCCAACTCAAATGCACATTAAACAAAAACCACCCTTTCTACATAGATGGAGAACTAAGGTCCAAGGACATGAGTTTGTGGCAGAGGTAGGACTGAAACTCAGACTACCTGATGCTAATCCAAAGTCCTATCCATACAGACCTAGAATGAATCTACTTACTCTAAAAAAAAAAAGAGTCCTGAGGTACTAATAATCGCCTCTCCTTCCACCCACCCAGGTGAAATGGTTATTACCTTGCCTATGTTGCCACCTACAGACACAGAACAGAATTAAGCCCAGGCCCACAGAGACAACGATGATGGTCACAGCTAAGACGATCCAGAAGTTGTCCCTCCACCAGTCCATTGCTGTGGAATTCTGAGACAGAAAGAGAATACAATAACAAGAATAAGATATGACTGAAGGGCACAGCGGAGGGGTGATGGTGAGGAGGTGAGGCGTTACTTACCATGTTATGGAGACAACAGAAGAATCTGCTTAGGAATCAGATTCAGGCACTAGTTTACATTCAAACCCTACTAGTTCAGGGGGTCAAGAGATGCAAGCAAGTAACTTAATCTTCTCTGAGGCTCGGTTTTCTCTTCTGTAATATTGGGAATAACCTAACTCCTTAGTAGTGGAAATGATTGATGGCTGAAGCTGCTAATTGAATAATTGGAAATTCAAATCCACCCACAACACCTTGGGGGGAAAGATCTGATAATTTACTTCTGGGGGAAAAAAATCACAGTTTGGCATTTCCTTAGAAAGTTAAGATTAAAATTTCCATTTGATTGAGAAATCCCACCGTGAAGGATTTATCCTAAAGAAATAAGACCTGTAGCAAGGAATTCATGAAATATTATACAAAAGGGGTAACCCTGGAGGACATTATGCTAAGTGAAATATCTGAGTCACAAAAGGAAAAGTATTGCATAGTGTCACTGTTGTAAAACGGGACTGGCATCGGAGTTGAAGGAAGACTGAGAAAGGAGGGATAAATAATGTATATTGCATTGAAACAGATGAGGCATAGAACTGTTTAAAAGGGATATATAATTAGATATTACTATCATTACAGGAGTCCAGAATGAAGGCTGCGCAGTGGAGTGAACTTGGGGGAGAATGATTGTATAACAATGAAAGAATTTTTCTTTTACTTCTCAAAGAGAAGGGCAAATTGGGTGGCGGGGGTGGGCAGGGAGAGAAGTGCAACAATGAAGGAATGGAAATCCTCAGTCTCTGTAAACTTTCATTAAAATTAATTTTTTAAAAAATAAATAAGAGCTGTGCTGTGAACTATGTACACCCATGTTTGCAGCAGCATTATTTACTGCAAAGAAATGGAAATGCCCACATGTCCCTTAACAGATAAATGGATAAAGAAAATATAAGACGTTCACACAATGGAATGCTATACAACATTAAAAAGACAATGAAGAATTTTTTAAGCATGCAAAATATAAATTATTCTAGAGGACATTACCCTGAGTGAAATAAAATAGTTATAATAGGACAAATGCTGTATAAGACTACTGTTGTTGTTAAGTGCCATCAAGTCACAGGCGACTCCTAGCAACTCTATGAACGAAAGACCTGAATACTTATAAGACTACTACTATTCGATAATGTTGTTGTTGTGGTGGTGGTGGTGGTTGTGTACTGTAGAGTAGTCAGAACTGACTCATAGCTGACCCTCCAGAGGATTTCCAGAGGCAGCTAATTACACAAAAGGAGATTGCCCATCCTTCTCCGGCAGAAAGGCTGGTAGCCTTGAACCACTTGCCTTCAGGATTATGGTGCCACTTCTTGCCACTAGGCCACCAAAGGTCATACACACATGTTAAGATGGGTGAAGGGAAAGGCAATATCTAATACAAGGATGATTCACAGAATGCCACTAAGGAAAGGGAAGACACAGAGAGGTATAGAAGGATTCATAAAACATAAAATTACTCGAAGTGAAAAGAGTGTAATTACATTGGTGGTATTAAAATTAATGCTGTAGAGCAAAATGTATATAAATGGTTGAATGAGAAGTATTTTGCTTTGTAAATTTTCACTCAAACCATAATTTAAAAAAGAAAAGAAATCAGCTATGAGAATCCCTATTGAGCACAGATTTTTGCTGTCATACTTGAGTTTACCAGGAGTCAGAATCAAAAGGATGGCAACGAGGGGTGGGGGGGGAGGAATTTAGCAATGGTGGCACAACCACAGCTTTCTCTTACACTGCTGAACATGTTAACAGAAAGAAATGTGCCATTTAAAATAATTGGCCTTGGTTGGTTTTATGTAACAATGGCAGTAATGACAATTTATCACAGAGGAGACCATTTTGGAGGCATTCATTTGGAGGAGATGGCTACAGCATGTTTTTTGTTTTTTGTTTTTTTCTATAATTATATTTTATTAATTTTCATAAACATTTACAGAGATTTTGGGCTTCCACTCATTCATTGTTGCACTATTCTCTCTACCCTCCTCCCAGGGTGTTCTTGTCCAAATGCCACAGTGCTTGTCAAAGCCAGTTCTGATTAATCTTCTTTGTCAGTGTATCCTTTGCCATTCCCTATCACTCCTCCCTGAGAGAGACTTCACCCTGAGTCATAAGGAAAAGGGGACGGTGTATTCTCTTAGCTACTTCCTGCTGAAAAGGGACGCTGTGGGTTTCAGGGTGAAGATCTTCTCTCACTACTCTAAAGGGCCCCTTTGGCAGTAGGAAACACGTAGACTATTATGGAGATTGATTTTGGAATTCAGATGCACTCTTATTGATTGTGCTTGGCGGCTACAGCATGTTTTGATTGTTCTTCAATGAAGTATATTCAGAAAGATGAAAGTGAAGGTGCAAAGCCAGCTGAGTTGGCCTGCATGAGAAAAGTGACAAGAATTTGGAGACTGAAGGCTTATAGGCTAGCAGAAAAGAGTCTTAAATGAGCATTGCAGAAAAGAGAGAGGTTGAGAGGATAACAGCATAGCTGAGCATCCTTAGAAGTTCCTCATAGTGAAAAAACAAACAGTGGACTTGTCTAACAGTCAATTTTAAATTGTTGCCTGTTTATGTTATGTTTGTTATGTTATGTTATGTTATGTTATGTTATGTTATGTTATGATGTTATATTTTATTGTATTTATTATCTATTAATTATATTTATTAAATATTATATTTTACATTATATTAAGTTACAGTCTTACTCTGTTGCCATTCATCTTCAATAAAACTACACAACAGACTTCCTCTCATGAACAGAGCATATGGGGAATGACATCTGTGTCATGGTTTCCCAAGCCAGCCGTGACATATGGCGAGTACAAAGAACAGCAACTTCCAGTCTCCAAGTGAGAGTAGACTATGGAATAGACTAATAGGAGAAGCCCCATGTATCTCAGGAGATTTTGGGAAGAGGCTGAACTCTCAGAGTCTACTGAATGCTCACCTTTTCTGGTTCATTTAGAAATTAAAAGTAATCTTGAGGCTTAGGACATTCCTTGGCACTCTGGTTATATGAGACTCAACCTCTGGTGTCACCCTTTAGCCAATGGAAATTCACCTGTGCCTGTTAGTGTAGTATTATTTCAGATTCCTACTTTTAAGTAGTATTTATGACATGAACAGGGATCCATGAAGGCAACAAAGGAGCAGGAGGAAAATTAGGTTGATGTTAAAACCATCATTACTACAAAGATCTTCTAACATTTAAAAATGTGTTTGTTACCTGAGATAATTCACCCTACATGTGTGAAGACAAATGTTTTACTGCAGATTATAATGCAGTGAATGAATTAATATGGCCCTACTAACAATGAAATCCAGGAAGACCCTCAATGAGATCAGTTAACACAATGACTGCAGCAAAGGGCCCTAGTGTGTCAGAGATGATGAGGATGGTACAAGATAGGACAGGACTCAGATCTGTGCTTTATAGGGTTGCTGAGTTGTACTCAACTTGACTGCATCTAACAACAACCATAGTCTTCGTGACTCTCAACAAATGACACTATGCTAATAAGGTTCTTGTGGTCCACCGAAATGACTGGATAGCCTGCCAATTATATAAACAGTTGTGAAGTTGAGGTCATACAAATAGGTGTATGGAACCCTATTGGTCCATATTGGGTGGATTGGTCCATTTTCCTGTCAAATTCAATTTAAAATGAGCCAACCCAGAGACAAATAGGGGTACTTCACAACAACTAAGAACAAGGGATGAGAACACAGTATATCCTTTGGATCCCTGATTCTTGTGCTGTGAACTTCCTCGACACAGGAGAAAGCTGTTAACAGCAGCGATCACAGAAGAGAATGAAAAGCAGCAGCATTTATCTTGTTGAGGTGATGGAATTCTATAAATTCTAGATGTAAGTCCCTTATAAGATATGTCATTACAAAATATGTTTTCCCAGTCTGCAGCTTTCCTTTTTACCCTGTTGGAGAAGTGCTTTGATGTGCATAAGCTTTTGATCCTTAGAAGGTCTCATTCATCTATTTTCTTTGCAAAATGGGCACAGGATAAGAACAGACACTTCACTGAAGAAGACATTCAGATGACGGACAAACACATAAAGAAATATTCAAAATCCCTAATTCAAAGAGAGATGCAAATCAAAACAATTTTGAGATGTCACGTCACCCCAGTAACAATAGGAAAGTTCAACAGAGCAGCAAAGAACAAATGCTGGCAAGATTGTGGAGAAATTGGAACCCTTATTCACTGTTGGGGGGAGTGTGAAATAGTCCAACCACTCTGGAAGACAGTAACGCTGCTTTCTCAAAAAGTTGAAAATTAAAAAAAAAAAAAAGTTGGAAATAGAAATAGCATTTGACCCAGCCAACAACCTACTACTGGGAGAATGTTGTTGTTGTTGATTTTCATCTACTCTAGCACAACTCATAGCACTTTATGAACAAAAAGTTTGAAGCCTTTCTATAATGATCAGCGTTTATCAAAGTTCATAGAGTTTCCAGAGGCATGTTGTTTGGGAATGGATGCCACTCCTGCTGCCACCTAAACAGAAATATGCACATCTATGTTTATTGCTGTGTTGTTCACAATAGCAAAGAGATGGAAGTAATCCAAGTGCCCATCAACAAATTAATAGATAGAGAAGCTGTAGTATACGAACACAATAGAATACTATGCAGTGCTGAAAATCAGGAAACTCACAAAATAGTATACAAAATGGGTGTCTCTGGAGGATATTATTCTGAGTGAAATATCTCAGTCACAAAGGGACAAATGCTGCATGGTGCCACTGTTGTAGAATGGGTCTGACATCAGGGTTTGGGTATGACAGAAAAAAACTGGATAAATTATGTATATTGTATTGAAACAGATGAGGGAAAGAACAGATTAGAGGTGATATATGATTGAGTA